TTAATGGGCATGTTGCTATTTGCTTTAATGAAAAGAGGACCAAGACTTTACCTGAGTGTCTTAAAATGTTACAAAACAGCAGGTTCTAATCAGTGACTGAAGCCTCCAGGCTTGTCCTGAAGCTGCTTGTTCATCACCTGTTATTTTCTGTGGAGGACTCTGAGGGCCTTTGAAAGGTTAGGGCAGAATTTTTGTAAGGTTAGATAAAGGTCTCTGCAAAGTGCATCCTCGTCTGGTGTCACTTCTGGTGCCTGGGCTGAATCACGTTGTTTTCTCTTTCCTCTCTTACCTGGGTGATCTGCTTCCACTTTGGTTCTCAAACCTGTGACACCAGTGGGGCTAGGCCAATTCGAGACAGACTTCCTAAGAACAGCAGATGAAATACTATGAGGGTTGATAAAAGCCACCTTTACCCAGCTTCCTTTACATTTCTTTGTCTCTCTCCAGCCCTGTTTCTTCCTTACTTCTTTTGTGATACTTGGGTGTGACAGTGCTTTACAGAAGCATGACCCTTCCATAAGCTTCAGTGCTTGTTTTCAAACCCATTCCCCTTCTCCATCTTGCAGCATACCGCTTCTTGGTCTAACTCAAACATCCACAAATCCATCTCCTCCTAACAGATGTAAACCTAATGCTTTGAACCTCCCCTTCTGCCTCTCTGAGCCTTCTCTTGTTTTTTTCTCACCCTTGCTACCCTTCACATCTTATTTGCTCTGTCTTGATGAACATTTGCTCTCAAATGGAAAGAAAACCTTAGTTACAGATGCATGAAACACCAGGGAAAATTTGAAGACTCAGTCAGCTAAACCTTCATCCCTGTCCATAGGAAAGCGGATGTCATCTCATTTTGGGAAATAAGAGAGGCAACATTTCTGAGGCTCCCAGATGGACTTAAGAGGTCTAAGAGCCTGTAACACATTCTAATCCATCATCACTTGCATTTTCAACTCTTGTTTTACTGGATATATAAGTCCAAAGGGAACTGAGAACTAAGAGGAACAATGCTGCCCACCATTTTCATGCTTCCAGCATAACTGACCCATGTTTATGTATCTCCAGAGAAAAACGTGAGGATTTCTTGTCTACCCAAAGACCAGTATCTAGACCAGCCCAGGAGTGGGCTAACAAGCTGTCACGTAGACAACATCAATGCATTGATTGTCTGTATTTGGTGTAGGATAAATTCTGTTTTGACTCCAGGATATTACAGCATTATTGCCTAGTATTTAATTACAACTCCAGATACTATAAAAGGCAAAGGAAATAAAGGGTTAGTGAAGTGGCCCATTTTATTTTTCAGTAGCTCTCTTTAAACATCCCTAAGGATTTCTAATGTTCCATTAAAATTTTACCTGAAAATGCTGATTGTAAGGAATCCAGTAGTGATACAGGGAAAGAAAAGCAGACTGCTAAATACTTCTGCTGCAGTAAATCTCCAGGCACTTGAAAGCCAGTAGGGCATGGGGAGGAGAAAGGGTGGATGAAACAGGGGTTGTATATTTTAATAGAACAAATAAAAATCCTGCATCATGACGCAGCAAATACAAGATATATAAATATAACTTTTAAAATGTTTTATTGCTCCATTCTTGCAAGTTGTTCTTTTGTCTATTGTCCCTGCCTACAGGAAAAAAAAAAATAAATCCCTAATTCCTGCAGAGCCCTGCTTGCTCTGTCCTCTTCTTTCCCTCTAAGCTTGTTGAATAAACTGCTCAGCTGAATAACTAGAGATACTCCCCCTGCCCTTTTCTCCCAACCGAGCAGTCTTTTCCTCTCCCGCATTTTTTTTAGTGCTCTTTCTCATTCTCTCTGCTGACTCCATTTGCTTATGAAGATGAGAGGTCCAAAGCCACATAAGAACCAGATCTGTCCACACTCCTGCATTCAAGGCTGAGTGTTTGCTTTCTTTTTTTCTTTCTTTCCATTGAAAAAGAATCTCCTAAAAACATACAGAAATTAGTCTGTGCAGATAGAAATTAGTCTGAGCAGAGCATGTGCCCACAAACCTAAGTACTTTGGGAGGTCTCTGAAATAGAAGTCACATATGTGGAGCAGATACTCCCTTTCCAAAGCATCTGAATGCATGTGGAAGTAAGCAGGTGGAGCTTATGGAGGTCTGACTCCAAACTGACCTAGAGTTTAATAGCCCTTCTCTTCTTAGCCAGAAATGGAGATACATGCTTTGCCTGGCTTTTTGGATGCATCTCTAAGGCTTCTGTCAGTTAGGGGAATTATGCCCTTCCAGAAACTAACAGCCATTTTCTTGTAGGACTGGTGTAACTGAATGCAAAGATAGAACCAGGGTCAGTAGTAAGTTAACCACAAAGCAGCCAGTAGATGAAGAAAAGGAATTAATAAGATTGAGATCATCCTTCACTGTACATGCCAGCCATTTTATTTTTATCAGTGCCTGTTAACATCAAGAGGAAAGCATAACTACCTGGTTATCACAGGGCAGGAGGAAAAATAGTAATGTAAATCAGTTTTGCAGGGCACAAATACTATATATTTCCTCTTTCTCTGTATAAAAGCAGTTGATGCCTGACTAGCACTTACCATTAGAGAATAAGAAAGTACTCAACAAGCTCTACAGGCAAGTTACCATGCCCAGAAAGTACTTGCCTGCTGTAGTAACTGCTATACTTACATTTGTAATGAAGTGAAAGGAAATATCACCAAGCCACCAACTGTGGACGAATGTCAATCTCTGCTATGAATAAACCTCTTTCCTCCTGACTGAATGTTCCCATTTCAGGGAAGAATGGCTCCACAGCACTGGAAGGCAGATACAAGGAGCTTATTTCCTCCTGAATGAAATTACTTATGTGGAATATAAATTATTTGAATTTGTTAGAACAATGGAGCAAACAGTCCCAATATTGAGAAAAGCACAATGGGGTTTTAATGATCGTGAACAGGCATCACCTCCATGGTGTGTGATAAAAAACACCTTCAATATTCATGTTCAGAGGATTTAGTGTGACCCTCCTATGTCTGATCAGGATTAATTCCTTAATCCATGAAAATTTAAAGGGACTAGAAATACCAAAAAAAAGCTATCTTTCAAGTAGTAGCTGGTCTCTTTCCC